GAGAGAGAGAGAGAGAGAGAGAGAGATTTTTTTAATATTCACAACATTTTAGCAGACTTTCCTGTCGTACAATCTCGACATACCTGGCCGGTGCTGGGGTCGTTAAGCTACCTGGCCGGTATTCAGGTGCGACTTACCTGGCCGGTGTTGAGATCGCTAAACTACCTGGCCGGTGTTCAGGTGTGACTTACCTGGCCAGTGTTCAGGTGTGACTTACCTGGCCGGTATTCAGGTGTGACTTACCTGGCCAGTGTTGGGGTCGTTGACTTCACGGTAGAGGCTGATGTCGAGGTAGTAGCCACTCTCGTTAGCGAGGAACAGACGGATGGGGATGCGCTTGCCGTTAGCTGTAAGCCTCACCATCATCTTCAGCTCGGCCTGCGTGACTCGCAGCTTCCACAGCCGCGGCCCGTAGCGCATCACCATGCTCCGCACGCTGTCCTCTATCTGTTGCCATGGTAACGCAGAAGCCATGTTAGCTGGGGGAGATAATGACGACATCGAGGGGGGGGATCACAGGTGGGAGGAGGGAGGCAGGAAGAGAAGGCGTGGTGGTGATCATGCTGCCAAGATTCCCTGCTCTCTGAGAAGATACCCTGGGCCGCCGTAACCGGAAAGAAAATGTGGTCGTAACATTAGTCTCAACTTTGTCTCATTGACGGAAACAGTGTAAAGTTACAAGTTTCTCGTATGCAGTGTATAGAGATCTTGTCTACAAGAAAAAGTTAATATTATGACAAATTTTTGTTTCTTTAATGTCATTAACTCCATTCATACTGATGCAGTAAGGTGCTTAGGCGATTCCAGTATACCCCACTTCATTCTTACAATGGTGCTTAGGCGATTCCAGTATACCCCACTTCATTCTTACAATGGTGCTTAGGCGATTCCAGTATACCCCACTTCATTCTTACAATGGTGCTTAGGCGGATTCGCAGTATACCACTTCATTTTAACAATGGTGTTAGGGCGATTCCAGTATACCCCACTTTCCATTCTTACAATGTGGTAGGTATTCAGAATACTCGCCACTATGCTACATGTGTTAGGCGTATCCAGTATACCGCCACCTTCATCTTACATGGTGGCTTAGTGATTCAGATACCGCCACTATCATTCATTACAACCTGGTGCTTGAGGCGACCCAGTATACCACTTCATTCTTTACAAGGTGGTTGGGAAACAAATCATAGAGTTTAGTAGTAGTAAATTTAAACAATGGTGGTTAGGGGAAACATCATAGAGTTTAGTAGTAGTAAATTTAAACAATGGTGGTTAGGAGAAACATCATAGAGTTTAGTGGTAGTAAATTTAAACAATGGTGGTTAGGGGAAACATCATAGAGTTTAGTAGTAGTAAATTTAAACAATGGTGGTTAGGAGAAACATCATAGAGTTTAGTAGTAGTAAATTTAAACAATGGTGGTTAGGAGAAACATCATAGAGTTTAGTAGTAGTAAATTTAAACAATGGTGGTTAGGGGAAACATCATAGAGTTTAGTAGTAGTAAAGTAGATAATTAGTTAAGCATATAGCATATCAGTCAGTTTTTATCTCTGATTCCTTCATGTAAGAATTTTCTCCCTATAGTGATGGTCTTGATGCAGAATGCACATACTAAGGTCAAGCATAGCAAGCATCGAGGCAAAGAATAGACATTCATCGTATGTTATTGCAAGGTTCTTCATACTCCAGCTCTTACTGATGGAGATATTCACAAACATAGGGTTACAGACTATTCACACGCACCTTAGATGGATCCAGTGTGACAGTTGGCACAAAGTTGAGGAAGATGTGGTTACAGTCCGTCTTCTTGTGCTGAAAGAAGCAACGACAACATGTCAGTGATGCGGCAATCTCCACGATACATACACCGTGGTGGTGAGGAGGAAAGTTTGCTAGAATCGTGATGATTTGAATGGTAAGAATTTCCCATCATGAGATGAGTGCTGGCTTGAGCGTTAAATGTTCTACATGTGATAGATACAGTGTGAATAACAAAGACTATGCATGTGGTAGAGGCATTGTGTGGGTCAGACTGAATGTGCGTACTAATGACCATGCATATGTGATGTTGTTTAGATTGTTAGATATTTAGATAACAACCAGGATTGTTATAGACAGTGATTATGTGGTACAGACAATGCATACATAATACAGACCACGATGGCATGATATAGACCATACATACATGATACAGACCATGATGGCATGATACAGACCATAGATACATGATACAGACCATGATGACATAATACAGACCATAGATACATGATACAGACCATGATGACATAATACAGACCATAGATACATGATACAGACCATGATGACATGATACAGACCATGATGACATGATACAGACCATAGATACATGATACAGACCATAGATACATGATACAGACCATGATGACATGATATAGACCATGATGACATGATACAGACCATGACAACAAGATATAGAACATGACGCCATGACGTAGACGATGCGAGTGTGATATGAGATTACAGTGATGCTCTCTCTACATGATGCCTACATTAGGAGCTGAGCAGGCCACTTCCAGCTCATCCATAGCCTCCAGCAGCACCCTCTCACCCTCATTCTGCATGAAGTCAAACGACGCCTCCTGAAAAACACAACACAACAACGACAATCAATCACCAAGTCATGCCGCGAGATGGCGCCACAAGCAAGTGACGACCACGCTGCGAGATGGCGCCACAACCAAGTGACGACCACACCGTGAGATGGCGCCACAAGCAAGTGACAACCACGCCGCGAGATGGCGCCATGGTCCAGCGACGACCACACAGCAAGATGGCGCCACTGCCCAGCGACGACCACACAGCCAGATGGCGCCACTGCCCAGGGACGACCACAGAGCCAGATGGCGCCACTGCCCAGCGACGACCACACAGCCAGATGGCGCCACTGCCCAGCGACGACCACACAGCCAGATGGCGCCACTGCCCAGCGACGACCACACAGCAAGATGGCGCCACTGCCCAGCGACGAGCACGCTAAGGCACTGCCAACTAACGTAACTTAACACTATGTTAACAGATCCTAGACATGCCGCGCGGTAGAAGCCATGAGCTCAATTCCTCGAGTACTGCTGCCGCTATTGACGACACGGACTGAACACGTGGCTCACCCTGGTGATGAGCTCCGAGTGTCGAATGATCGATCGGATGAAGAATCTGTAGTCGGTGACCTCCTGACCCTTTGGAACCTACAATAATTCGTACGTGTATGTGGGATACATTACTATAACATCAACAGCATCCAATAGACATAAGGTCTGATTTTGAACTTCAAAGCAGGTTCATAATGCATGCTTACATACTCTCCACATACACATAACATCGACATGCATGCACGCACACACACACACACACACACAGACGCACGCACGCACGCACGCACGCACACGCACACACACCGCACACACACATACACCACACACGCGCACGCAAGCACTCACAGTGACGCACGCACACACGCACCTTTGCGCTACCGAAATAGAGGTGCATCTTGTGATTGGGCGTCGGCAGAAACGCGAGGTCAAAGTTCCGCATTCGATTGATCTCCAGCTGGAAGGCCAGCGCTGGCTCCAGATGTCTGTAGATCTTATCCTCCTGAAACTAATAACATGCACCCCACCCAACGTTAGAACCACACACGATGTATGTAGGCTGGTCACAGCATGACCAACGCTATATATACACACATAAATCCAATCAATATGCTAACAACAACACCAATTATAATAGTAATCATAAATGATACACCACGGTGTAAACAACCGTCTAAACAACTGTCTGGACAACCGTCTGCACCACCGTGTGAACAACCATCTGAACAACTGTACACCACGGTGTGAACAACCGTGTGAACAACTGTCTGGACAACCGTCCACACCACCGAGTGAACAACCGTGTGAACAACCATCTAAACAACTGTACACCACGGTGTGAACAACCGTGTAAACAACTGTCTGGACAACCGTCCGCACCACCATGTGAACAACCGTGTGAACAACAATGCACACCACTGTGTGAACAACCGTGTGTACCACTGTGTGAACAACTGTGTGAACAACTGTGTGAACAACCGTGTGTACCACTGTGTGAACAACCATGTAAACAATCATGTAAACAACAATGCGCACCACTGTGTGAACAACAGTGAGAACCATCGTGAAAACATTCGTGCACACCACTGTGTGAACAACCGTGTGAACCACAATGCGCACCACTGTGTGAACAACTGTGTGAAAAACCGTGTGAACAACCATGTGAACAACAATGTGCACTACTGTGTGAACAACAGTGAGAACCACTGTGTGAACAACAATGTGCACCACTGCATGAACAACCATGTGAACAACCAGCGCCTCCCCTCGCGTCATTGCCTACCATGTCGCGCGACCGGTAGGTGAAGAACTTTGGGAACTGTCGTCTGTAGAGCGTGAGAAACGTGAACCTGCGAATCTCCTTGTCCTTCAGCTCCTCTACCTGCAACGACAACAACCCCGGAATCGCACGCGCAACAACACACATATTCAATATGGGAGTATTCCTGGAGTCTTCCAGGACGTAAACAGTACTGGACAAATGAGAGAAAGTCTTTCCAGGATTTTTGGTAAATGCAATCTTTGCACGTTTAATCGTTCAATCTTCTATCGTCTAATAACCGGATAGTGAAACAATGGAGGAAACAGATTTTGTTGTTGTTAAGACATGAGGTTACTGTCATAGATTCTTGAACCAAATACAATAATAGCACGAGCAGACGATGGTCGACTCACCTTTGACATGATGAATTCTTGGAACATGGCAGCGAACACAGCGTCCTTCTTATCTTCGTTCGTCCTGATCGCTACGTTAACGATGTGCACTGGGTCGTCACTGCCATTACTCTACACACACACGAGAGAGAGAGACATTGATGTTACTACAGGATCATCATTGCCATTACTCTACACACACACGAGAGAGAGAGACATTGATGTTACTACAGGGTCATCATTGCCATTACTCTACACACACACACGAGAGAGAGAGACATTGATGTTACTACAGGGTCATCATTACCATTACTCTACACACACACACACACACACACGAGAGAGACATTGATGTTACTACAGGGTCATCATTACCATTACTCTACACACACACACACGAGAGGCAGAAAAAGCATTGATACACAGGCATCATTGCCATTACTCCTACACACAACACACACAGCACGAAAGAGACATGAGTACAACAGCATCAGGCCAACCACACACACACACAACACATGAAGAAGAGACAATTGATTACGACAGGGTCACATACCAACCTACACAGCACACACACACACACACGAAAAACAAGGATGCGACACAGGGCATCATTGCCAACCACACACACCACACGACACCACAGCGAGAAGAGAGACATGAGTACGACAGTCACATGTCCAATACTCTAAACACACACACAACACACTCGAAGAAAGACATGGGGGAGTACTACAGATCATCAGATATACCGACACACACACACACACACACGAGCGAGAGACATAACACACAGGCACATGCATTACCTACACACACACACCACACCACCGACCGAGAGAGAGACATTGGATTACTACAGGACACATGCCCATTACCTACACACACACACGAGAGAGGACAATGATCGTTACACCAGGCATCTGGCCATACCACACACAGGTCACACACACACCACAGAGAGAGACATGAGTACACAGCATCAACCATGACCACACACATCACACACCAACACAACGAGAAGAGACATTTGGATGTTACTACAGGTCATACATGCCATTACCACATCACAGCAATAACCACGAGAGAAGAAGACATGAGTACACAGGACATCATCCACTCCTACACACACACACACACAAACGAAAGAGAGACAGAGTTACTACAAGGACAACATGCCAATACCAACAACACACACACACGAAAGAGAGACAATGGGGGAATGTTACACAGGCTCATCAATTGCATACCCACAACACACGCACACACAAGAAGAAGACATGATGCTACAGCATCAACCATCACTCAGCCACACACACACACACACACGAGAAGAAAGAGACACAGGGCACATTGGGGCCCTTACCAACACACACACACCAGAGAGAGACATTGAGTACTACAGGCACCTTACCAACCTACACACACACACACACACGAAAACAATTACTTACAGTCATCTACCGTATACTCACACAGCAACACACACACAACCAGAGAACATGATACACCAGGCCATCATGGGCCAACTCAACACACACACGACGAGAGAGACAGAGTACTACAGGTGCACATACCCATTACTCTAACACTACCACACACACAGAAGAGGACCCGATTTACTACAGGACACAGCCATCCTACACACACACACAACACCGAAGAAGACATGAGTACACAGCACATTTGCCAATACCCTACAACACACACAATAGAGAAAGAAGAAGACGTACACAGGGCACAACCAACTCACACCACATCACACACAAGAGAGACATTGAGTACTACAGCAATCATACAAACTCAACACAGCAAGAGCAGCACACGAGAACATAGACAGCACATGTCATACCCTAACACCACACACACACACCGAGAGAGAGAAGACAGTGAATACACAGGCATCATGCAACTCACACACACACACACACCCACCAAAGAGAGAGAACATTTGGAGACTACAGGGCATCATACCATTACCCAGGACACCACACACACAACAACGAGAGAGACACTGATTACACAGGCAATCATGCATACCGACACACACATCACCCACGAGAGAGAGAGAGACAGTGATGTACTACAGCACATGCCATACTTACACACACCACACCAACACACACACAGCACACAGAAGACATCGAGTACTACAGCACATGGCCATATCCACAACCACACACACACGACGGAGAGGAGAGCAGAGACACAGTCCATCATGGGCCAAACCACACACACACACACACACAGCCCGCGAAAGAAGAAACATGATACACAGGGTACACATACCCTTCCTACACACACACACACACGAGAAGACATGAGTACACAGCAACATGCAACCACACACACACACAGCAGCAGCACACACGAAGAAGAGAGACAGTGATACAAATGGCATGTCTACCTACAACAAAAACACACACACACCACGAGAAAGAACATTGAGTACACCGGTCACATATGGCCAATACCACACACACTACCAACACACCCACACGAAGAGAAGAGAGATATCGTGCTGAGAAAGCTGAAAAGACATGGGAGTTACTACAGCATCATACCATACCACACACACACCACACCACACGAGAAACGATGTACTACAGGGCACAGCCCATACTCCACACACACAACACACACACACAGTCCCACAAGAGAAGAGAGACAATGGGGATACACAGGCCTCATTGGGCATTACCTCCACACAACATCACACACACACACCACAAGAGAAGACATGATTACACATGGTCATCAATGGGGGGCCATACCACACACAACACATCACAGGGGGGAAGAGAACAGATACACCAGGTCATCATAACAATACTCACACACACGGTCAACACCACACACACGAGAAACATTTGAATACACAGTCATCATGGCCATTACCACACACAACACCCACACCAGCACACATCAGAAGGAGAGACATGGAACTACAGATCATCATGCATTACCGCACACACCCACACACACCACACGAGAGAGAGAACAGATGTACACAAGGCACATGCATTACACTACACACCCACACACACACACACACGAGAGAGAGAGAACAGAGGACACAGCACAACAACTAGCACAACACAGGGCCCA